CGCGGAGTCGCGCGGCGGGAGCGTCTCCTCGGCGGCGCGGAGTGGCGGCCTCCGCCGACGGGGTGGACATGGAGGCGCTGCAGAGGCGCCGTTCCGCGCTGTTTGCGGCAAGCGGGCGCGCGGGCAGCGCCACCAGTGACGCGGCGTCTGTCGCTGCCCTGGGCGGCGGGTTGGAGCGCCAGCCGAGCCGCCAGGGCGGGGGCACGGCGGTGGAAGCCGTGGCGCGGAACTCTGCACCCGCGACGCCGAGCCACCAAGAGGAATCCCTCAATCGGCGGCGTTTGCCGAGTGGAGGGGTGAGGAGGGGGCAACAGAAGCAGGAAGGGGCGCCATTTCCACGCGGCGTGGATGATGCGGAGCCTCTCGACGTGACAGCGAACCTCAGCCCCCTCCTGCGAGTTGTCTTGGATCTTACCAACATGGTGCCCACAGGCCGTTTGCGTGTGTTTTTTTAGCTTGCCGCTGCTGCGGCGGCGCCCCGGGAACAAACGGCGAGGCTGGCGCGCGCGTTTGCCTCCTTTGCTTCCTTTGTTTGCGCTTCGCTTTTTCGACGAAATGAATCAGGAGAAGGCGGGGGAAAAAACGCAGTTTATCTTTTCCTTTAGTTGCGCCCGTCTCCTCGTGGAAGAGCGGGCTGCTGCGCCCGAAAGGGTCGGTTCCACAACGGAACGCCGGCCAGCCATAAATCACTGGGCGCTGGCAAAAAGGTGGTGTTTCTAAAAGTGTCAGTGCCCCTTTTCCCAGGCACAGTGGGAAAAATTTGAAGGCGTGTCGGGCTGGGGTTTAAAAAGCGCCGTTTGCGGCAATATTTCGGCGGGCCGGGCAATGTGAAATTTTAGCACGCCCCGCCAAATACAAGTAAAATCAGAGAATCCCTTCTACAGTCCGTCGAAAAGTTAAAAAAAAAAAACAGAAACAAAAAAAAAGCACGCCTTAGTTAGAGAGTGGGGTCTCGTCTTCTTAGACCCGCGCGCGACAGAAAAAGTGAGAAGCAGTTCGGCCCATCGCAACACGCACACGCCCACCCTTTAACGGGCCCCATTCGAAACACGCACGAACAAAAAAAGTAAAAAGAAAAAGAAAATTAAGATGTTTTGGTTATAATTGGGCCCCGTTGGAAATAGACGCGGTTAGAACCCGCGGGTCCCGCAACCTTGACCAAGAAAGCGTTATTGGTGGTGGGCCGCGGAGGGCACGCACCAGAAACAAAAACAAAAAAGGACCTTTCCGGCGCCATCGTTGAAACAAAAGTCAGCTACATAAATTAATATTCCTCTCATTTCTTTGACCTCGTCGGGACGTATGCCCGTGATATAGTTATTTTAATAATATTTTTTTAGGCCCTTGTATTACATTAATTCCTATGCGCGGAACCGTTGTCGTTCAATGACCCGGGTTTCCGTGCTATTGCTACTGATTTTGCGCTACGTGCACTCATCCCCTTTCAGCACCACCAGCGTGAACAGCAGGTCCAACAGGGAACCCAGAGCGATCCCAATCGAAGAGTAGACGGACCCAATGTTCATCGCCAGGTCACGCTTCTCCTTCCATACGGTCTCAATGTAGTGGGTCGCTTCGCGTGCCTCCTTCGATTCTCCTTCCACCACGCCCACCTCGCGTTTCTTATCGTTAGCGTTCTCCGCGTTTGTGTAGCTGTCACTTTTCCGGCGCGAGGCTATAAAGTCCATAGCCTCATCCACCTCATACTCCTGCGCCGCCCGCGTCTCCTCAAGGATGTTGTAGAACACGTTCACATACGAGGCGCCGCCCATCAGGCCCACAAAGACCATCCACGCAAAGAGGACAAAGGCAAGCTTCACTTCCCGACTCGCGTCATTCGGGTCCGAGACATATTTTAACTTCGCCTGCATAAACCAGGCGATCGCGTTAATTACCTGGACGACTGACATGATCCATATACGGCGAACGCGGATGCACAAGAGGCTGCTGCGGGAGATCAGCACACCAAATTGATAGCAGAACTGCGTGATGACAAACGAATTCTTCAACCAAAAGCTATTATCCGTCTTCACCTGATCGCAAGGAAAGCTGAAGGGCACCATGAATTGCACCGCATACTCTGCGACGTACACCACGGCGAGATTCATGTTATTCCACAGCGTAAATTTGTGCATCTCCTTAACCAGCGGCCACACATCGCGTTTCCACCGCGCCCACTTGCCCAGATCCGCGCTGCCGCACTCCCCAGTCTCCACCACCGTTTCGCACCCTCCACCCGCAGTAGTAGCTCGCTTCATACGTTCCATCTCCCTCAGGCACTCCGGCTCCACTTCGGACCGCGCAGGGACAATGCTTGTCCACGGTGCGCCCTTCCAGTTCACCATGCCTTTGCACACGTAGTCGCTCCCCTCCGCCTCCTCCACAGCCCTGAACGGATCGTTGCGCACCTCGTTCTCCTCTGTCGCACTGCTGGGGCTCACCAACATGCAAAAGGGCATCTTGAGACCAAAGAAGTACATGAACCAATAGATAACGACAAAAACAATGCTCAGCAAGAAGATCTGTGTGTTGCTCATGCCAGCAGAGGTCAACCCAAGAAATATGAGTGAGGCGGCAACACCAGACAATCCCGTTCCAGACGACCACGAGCTGATCTGCCACGATGGCATGCGCTCCATGTAGCCCAGGAACACACTGCTGCCGTAGTTGCATGACACTCCAATGAAGATCACGCCAATCAGCATCGTAGTGAAGGCGGCAATGTTGTTGTGCCCACCGATGTCCCAAGCGAAACTCACCAATAGAATGGCCATAATCGCCATCAGGGAGGTCGCTGTCACGCGGATGTTGTACGATAGCAGCTGCAGCACGAAAGCATTGATGATGCCCGCGATGATCCCGAAGAACACATTCGCCCACGTGATTAGTGCCACGTACTTCTTCATGCCGTAGCCCACTGCGATGTCATTCGAGCCAGCAAGCACCAGTGTGTAGTGGAAATTGTTAATCATGCCCAGCCACCACAAACTGAAGGCGTTACGGACGCGGTGCCTTACATGAACGCCCTCTTCCTGTTTCTTCACAAAAAGAGGTATCATTGTTGCGCTTGGTTTGTATTCTCTATGAGAACAAAAAAAAAAAGTCGGTGGAGAAGAAGAGTGAAATGAGGTGAGGTGCGGAATCAATGTGGAAACGGAAGCGGAGCCGCCACCTGCCGCACACACCTCCCCATCGCCCAGCACAAGACTCACGCAAGGATACGACGGACAACGCTCTCAATACAACCACCATTTTTGACCCAAAACAAACGGGGAAAAAATACGTGCCTGGTGGGGGGCCTTTGCCCATTCTCCCCGTACAAGGAAATAAAGAAACAAGGCGATCGTAGTTTGGCTAAGCGAACGCATCCCCCCACACCGGAGGAAGCCCGCCAAACACCCACCCACCCACACCAGTAAACCAATTGGTGCACAAAGCAATCTACAAAAACTGAGGCCTCGCCGTGAACCCACAACGTGGCAGCCGTTGAAGACCCCGCAACCGCCGCTCCCCCTCGCATGACGAGCCCCTTCTGCCACGCCACCAGAACTGAAGTCACGACCCCGCGACGCGCCACCTGCGTGGCCGCAAAGAAATCGTACGCAGGTAAAAAAGGTGCATCCACGCCGTGGGCGTCAAGAGGGTGCAATACCACGTCCAATTGCCGCGTCAAGACGCGCCGCCCCTCCTTTAGTGGCGTCACCCTGCAACGCGGCAATTGCCCGTACAGACGCCAATGCGTTGAGCCAAACACTCGGCGCACGTCGACAAAGCAGGAGGGTCCGTCCGTGCTTCCGCCTGCATGAGAAAAGAGTTGCGGGAGCTCCGCAGCGATGCCCCTCTGCCACCTCGACGCCCTCCACAGCTGGAAAAGCAAAACATTTCCCAACCGTGCAAATCCACGTCCGTGATGAGGCAACTCGTCGGGTGCCTGTGATTTTTAACGGCGCTCCGCCCGTACCTGCGGAAGTCCCGAGAGCAACGCAACGCC